GTGTTTTTGTGGGGACAGGAATAAGGGACATGGTCAAGTGGGGGGATTTGGGATGTTCATGGGATATGGGATACCCACAGGATATGGAATGTGGGATATGGGATGTCCATGGTATATGGGGTACAGAACATGAAATGCCCATGGAATATGGGATACTTGCAGAATATGGGACATGGAATACGGGATGTTCATGGTATCCAGGGTGCCCATGGGATATGAGATGGAACATGGGATACCAGGTGTGAAATATGGTAATGGGATGTGGGATGCCCATGGGATGAGGGATCCAGGATTTGGGAACAGGGCTTCCCACCTGCTCTCCTCGCCCTCCAGCAGCTTCCTGTAGGTTGCAATCTCAATGTCCAGAGCCAGCTTGACATTCATGAGCTCCTGGTATTCCCGGAGCTGCCGGGCCAGGTCCTGCTTGGCCTGGGCCAGGGCCCCCTCCAGCCCCCCCAGCTTGGCCCGGGCATCCCTCAGTGCCAGCTCCCCGCGTTCCTCGGCCTCCGCCACTGCTGCCTCCAGCCCAGAGCGCTGTGGGATGGGATACTGAGACCAGGATCCCCCTGGACCGGTGTCCCTGTGACCCAACATCCCCAGTATCTCAATATCCCTCACCCCCTCAGTGTCCCCATGTCCCAGTATACGCAGTGTCCCAACATTCCACATCATGTCATCCTCTGTGGTCCAGTGTTCCCGTGTCCCAGTATTCCTCACTCCCCAGTATCCCTCATAGCTCACCATCCCTCACCCCCTCCTCCCCCCAGTATTCCCAGCCCACCCAAAATCCCCTCATCTCTGAGCCATCACTCTCTCCTCCAATTTCCTGGATGAGATCCCAAGGGATACTCAGGGATCCAGTGAGGGGGTTCCCAGGGGTGCTGGGGGATATGTCAGGGAGGGGCAGGCAGTATGTCTTCAAATTTCCATCCAGCTTGGACCCCAAACCTGATTTTTCAGAGCCTCAATCTCTGCCTGGATCCGCTGGATCCGCCGGTTCAGCTCCTGGATCTGGCTCCGGGTCTGACGCAGGTCGTCGCCCTGCTTCCCAGCTGCCGTCTTCAGCTCTTCGTACTGGAGACACCAGAGAGGGGATGGGAATATGGGGCATCCCCCAAAGCCACCAGCACTCCAAAATTGGGAAGAAAAAGTTGGGATGTGGCCAAACTTGGAGGGATAGTCCAGAGTGGGATGTGGTAGGTCTGATTTGATTTGGCGTTGGGATTTTGAGGGGGATGGAAATGGGGGTATCCCCCTTTTTTCACCAGCACCTCAGAAATTGGGAGGGAAGAGCTGGGATGTGGTGGAGGCAGGAGGGATGCTTTGACAGGGATGTGGTAGCTCCAGTTGGAATTTGGTGGGTTCAGCTGGGTTTGGAAGTGGTATCTTGGAGGAATGGAGATTGGGGACGACCCCTATTTTCCCCAAAATTTGGGATGGAAGAGCTGGGATTTGCCTGTGTTAAGAGTGATGTTCCAACTTGGACCTGGGATCTCAGGGGTATGGAGATGAGGGAACCCCTTTCTTCCCCAGCACACCAAAACTGAGGAGGAAAGAGCTGGGATGTGGCCATATCAGTAAAGATCCTCCAGTTGGGACGACCACTGGGATGCCGTGGGTCTGGTTTGGAGTCAGGGTCTTGGTGGGATGAGGAGGGGGGAACCTCGCTTTTCTATCAGCACCCCAAAAATTCAGAGGAAAGAGCTAGAATGCAGTGATGTTGGGAGGGATGATCCAACTGGGACATGGTGTCCCTCACTGGGATGTGGTGGATCCGGCTGGGCTTGAATCTGGGATCCCAGTGGGATGAAGCCCCCCACTTTCCACCAGCATCCCAAAACAGGGGATGAAAGAACCTGGGAAGTACTGGCACTGGGATCTGCACCAGGAATGGAGATGGGAGCTCCTCCCTGCCCCATGGCACCCAGGACTGCGATGAGCCCACACCTGGGGGAACACTCCAGGCTTGGATGTGGCAGCTCTGGTTGGGTTTCAAGCCAGAATTTCTCCCACGCAGCAGCCACTCCCTCCAGGGCAGGGAGGAAGAGGAGGAAGAAGAGGAGGAAGAAAAATGTGGGGCAGGGAGGAGGAGGAGAAAGAAGTTTCAGGAAGCAGAAAGAAGGAAGAGGATGGGGCAGGGAGGAGGAGGAAGATGCAGCAAGGAGGAGGACGAAGGTTCAGGGAGTAGGGAGGAGGAAGACAAGGAGGAAGAAGGATTGAGGTATAGGGAGGAGGAAGACAGAGCAGGGAGGATGAGGAGGATGAAGGCTTGGGAATAAAGAGTAGGATCAGGGAGCAAGGAAGAGGATGAAGGCTTGAGAAGCAGGGAGGAGAGGGAAGGCTCAGGGCAGGGAGGAGGAGAATTAGGAAGAAGGGAGAGGATGGGACAGGGAGGAGGAGGAAGTCTCGGGGTGTGGAAAAGGAGGAGGAAGTTTTAGGGTGCAGGAAGGAGGAGGAAGTGTCAGGGAGGAGGAAAGCTCAGGAAACAGTGAGGAGGAAGGATGGGGGAGCAGGGAAGAGGATCAGGGTAGGCAGAGGGAAGAAGGATTCAACAGGCTGGAAGAGGAAGAGGAAGGATTGGGGAGAAGGGAGGAGGAAGATGAAGGTTTGGGGAGCAGGCAGAGAGGAGGAGGATTGGTGGGTAAGTGAGGAGGAAGAAGATGAAGGAAGATGAAGGGAAGCAAAGAGGGGAAGGAGGAGGAGGAGGACTTGGGGGGCAGCAAGGGCTTCTCTCCTGACCTTAACCTGGTAGAGACCTTCGGCCTCAGCACGGCTGCGGCCAGCGATATCCTCATACTGTGCCCGCACATCTGCCAGGACCCCAGCCATGTCCAGCTGGCGGCTGTTGTCCATGGACACCACCACGGCCATCTCCGACACCTGTGTCCGCAGCTCCTGCAGCTCCTGCACACATGCAGGGATGGGTTGAGTGGGGCAGCACCCCCTGAATCCAGGTACCCCAAATTCCAGGCATCCCCAAATTCAGGGCACCCCCAAACCTCCTCATAGAGCTGCCGCAGGAAGTTTATCTCATCTGTGAGGCTCTCCAGGTGTGATTCCAGCTCCACCTTCGACATGTAGGCTTCATCCACATCCTGCAGGAACACTGCCGTCACCCCCTGTTCTCAGCACTCCCAGGGACCCCCAGCAACACCTTGGTCTCAGGGCACCCCCCGTGTCGGGGTCCCCCCTCAGTGTTGGAGTTACCCCACCTTTTTGAGCAGGACAAACTCATTCTCCTTTTCTGTGCGGTGGTTGATCTCCTCCTCATACCTGAACAGGAGGACACAAGGACAGGGGTGACAGGGGCACATGGAGAAATGGGGATGGGAGACATGGGGACAGGGGCAATATGGGGATGGGAGTTGGGGGATGTGGGCACTTGAGGGTGGGAGACATGGGAATGGGGTGGGGACATGGGGATATGGGAATGAGGGATGGGGGGGACAGGGATATGGAAACAGTAGGGATGGGGACATGGTGACAGGGGGACATGGAGACATATGGGGACATTGGGACAGGGAGGGATATGAGGATGGGTGACATGGGAACAGGAGGATATAGGGACACCAGGGGATGGGAGGACATGGGGAAGGGGGGACAGGGGGACAAAGGGGCAAGGCAATGGGAGAATGTGGGGACATAGAGAGGATTTGGACCAGGGATGTGGGGGCATGAAGATAGAGGGACATGGGGGGCCATCGAGGGCCATGGGGACAGGGGTACACAGGGATGAAGGGCCATGGGGGTGAGGGCACACAGGATGGGGACAAAGGAGTATGTGGGGGAACACTCAGGGACACAGACATGGCCTTGAATTCCTCCAGGAGGCTGCAGGTGTGGCCCAGGCAGGGTCAGCAGCAGGTGGAGCCCCAGGGGAGCTACAAGTTGGTACTGGGGGGCTGTGGAGGGGTCTGGGGAGACATGGGGATAGCATGGGGATTTGGGGGACACTCAGGGACACTGACTTGGCCTTGAACTCCTCAACGAGCCCCTGGACATGGCTGAGCTCTGCACGCAGCCGCTGCCGCTCCTGCCCGAGTCCCTCGAGTTGCTGCCTCAGGGTCCCCACATAGCCCTCAAGGAGCCCTCCCAGGCTGCTGCGGGGTGGGGGCTGTGCCCGCAGGAGCCCCCACTTGGTCTCCAGGAGTTTGTTCTGTTGCTCCAGGAACCGCACCTGCAGATGGGGAACAGCATCCCAAAACCAGCCAAAATCACCACAAAATCACACCTGAGGGAAAGTGGCTCAGGAGCACTCCCACACTCCAGAATCACCTTAAAATCACTCCACACAACCCCTCCATATCAAAGTCACCCCAAAATCACCAAAAAATTACCCCCACACCCCAAAAGCAGGGGCAGGGGCACTCTCATACCTCAAAATCACCCCAAAATCACCTCCACCCCCAAATCACACCTGGGAGGAAAGGGGGGAAAGCAAATCAGCACCCCAAAATTACCCCCAAATCAACCCCCGGGGAATGGGTTGGGCTGGAGGGGGGCATGAAGTGGAAGAGTGGAAGCAGGGAAGGGGATTTGGGGTCCTGGGGCAAGCTGGAGTCTGTGTGTCCTTGGACAGAGTCTGGAGGGGCTCAGAGTGTCCCCAAGGGGGGTGTCAATGTCTCCAAGGGTCTCAGAAGGTCCCCAAAGGTGCTCAGGAGGTCCCAACTGATCCAGGGGGTCCCTGAAGGGTACTGGAAGGGTTTCTCTGTGTCCCCAGGGGTCTCAGGATGTCCCCAAAGGTGCTCGGGAGGTCCCAGCTGAGACTCAGGGGATCCCAGAGAAGGTCTCAATGTCCCCCAAGAGTACAGGTTGTCCCCAAAAATGTTCAGAATGTCCCAAGGAGGGTCTCAATGTCCCCAGGTGTCCCAAGATGTCCCAGGTGCCCCAGGAAGCCCCAGAAACCAGTCCCCAGGGTGGTCCCACCCCTCCTCGGCGTCCTCCCCAGCCCCACCTTGTCGATGAAGGCGGCAAATTTATCATTGAGGGTCTTGATCTGCTCCTTCTCCTCCCGCCGCAGCTCCTGCAGCTCTGGATCCACGGCCACGTCCAGCGGCGCCAGGAGACTCCGGTTGATGGTGACGGCCGTGATCCCTCCGCCCGCCCCCGGGACCCACGAGGGACCCCCGAGCCCCCCGGAGCCGCCACGGAGCCCCCCGTAAGGGCCGAAAGCCGGGGCTGTGCTCATCCTCAGTGCTGGAGCAGCCGTGAAGGAGCGGGACGAGAATGAACGTCCTGGAACGGCCGAGCTGCTCCGGAGCGGCTGCCGGGGGATGGAGACAGACATCGGGGCCGGAGGAGACGGGAACGTGGGAAAAGAGGCTGGGGAGAGCTTGGAAAGTGGGAGGTGGGAAAGGAGGTCGGCTGGAGGATAAGTAATCTGGAGAAGATTGGGAGGAGGCTGGAAGCTGGGAAAGGAGATGGGGAGTTTGGAAAGAGGTTGGAAAGTGGATGAAGGTCGGGGAGGTTGGAAGAGGGTTGGAGGAGGCTGAGGGGGATGAAGAGGCTGCAGGGAGGAATTGAAAAGGTTAGAAGAAGGATGAGGAGATTGGAGGAAGTTTGGAAGAGGGTTGGAGAAGGTCCTCAGCTGAAGAGGACGAGGACGACTGGAGGAGACTGAGGACGGTTGGAAGAGGCTGAAGAGGCTCAGGAGGATGAGGACGGCTGAAGTAGGTTGGTAGAGGCTGGAGAACGCTGAGGAGGACGGAGCCGAAGGCCGCGCTCGGGGCAGGGAGGCTCCGGCAGGACCGGCCGAACGGGTCGGGGCAGGACGGGCC